GACAGTTTATCAGCTAAAAAAAGTTAATTTTGGGGTAAGTTACTCTTTAAATGAAAAATAAAACTCTTCGTTTCTCCCTCAGCTCTTCCTCCAAAGTGCGTGGATCTGCAGCAGTCTTCATCAGTCCATGTGGGAGGAGTCAGTGATGCAGACACCGAGGGGGGCGGAGCAACCAGCACTCTGCAGGAGGCGGAGTGGTACTGGGGCGACATATCCAGGTAGAGTTGGTGGTTGGAAAACACCTGGTGGAGATCAGAACCCTGATCAGAACCGTGATCAGAACCTTCCGGGTCTTGTGGTCTGCAGGGAGGACGTGAACAAGAAGCTCAGAGACACTCCAGACGGCACTTTCCTGGTCCGGGACGCCTCCACCAAGATGCAGGGCGACTACACGCTCACTCTGAGGTAACGAGGCCGGACCCAGAACCCCTGTCTGACAGTCAGGTCCGGTTTGTTCTAAAGGTTCTGATGGTTTCAGGAAAGGAGGCAGCAACAAGCTGATAAAGATCTACCACCGGGACGGGAAGTACGGCTTCTCTGAGCCGCTGACCTTCTGCTCCGTGGTCCAGCTCATCGGACACTACCGCCACGAGTCTCTGGCCCAGTACAACTCCAAGCTGGACGTCAAGCTCCTGTACCCCGTGTCCCGCCTGCAGCAGGTCAGAACCAGCAGGTCCACACGCCTTACAGCTGCAGGAGACCACTTCAAGGTCCTCATCAGAAATGTTCTGGTTCTGGTTGTCAGGAGCAGCAGGTGGAGGAGGACAGCATCCACACTGTGGAGAAGAAGCTGCAGGAGGTCCAGCATCAGTACCAGCAGAAGAGCCAGGAGTACGACCAGCTGTACGAGGACTACACCAAGACCTCCCAGGTACGGTAGATCTCCCAGGTACGGTAGGCGTCCCGGGTACTCCTGTAGACGTCCCGGGTACTCCTGTAGACGTCCCGGGTACTGTAGGCGTCCCGGGTACTGTAGGCGTCCCGGGTACTACTGTAGGCGTCCCGGGTACTACTGTAGGCGTCCCGGGTACTCCTGTAGGCGTCCCGGGTACTACTGTAGGCGTCCCAGGTACTACTGTAGGCGTCCCGGGTACTACTGTAGGCGTCCCGGGTACTCCTGTAGGCGTCCCGGGTACTCCTGTAGGCGTCCCGGGTACTCCTGTAGGCGTCCCGGGTACTCCTGTAGGCGTCCCGGGTACT